TTTAGAATCACATATCTAACGGAAGCCTTATAGTGTCAACTATCACTTGCCCTTTGCAGTCTGCCACCTAGTCTAAGCGATTTTACTTTCTGTTTTATACTATTCTTGGAAACAACCAGAGGGAGGGTGTATTCCTAAATATTGGATATAATTGTAAGATAATGACTTTATCCTAAATTCACTTTGTACCATATTTTTGACTAGATTTGCTTCCTCTGTGATTTGGGGATTCTCTCTCCAAATAACTTGCCAAACTTAATTATATATGTATAAAATGTGAAAGGTGGGACAACATGGGACAGGGATTTCAGAATAAGAGAGTAAGTGTAAATAGTTTACATTTCCATTATTATACAATGGATACATAATTTAAAAAAATCTAGTTAGAATTTAAAAAATGAATTAATACCAAATATGCCATTCCCCCTTTTCTATTATTTTAAATATATATATTTTTTACTCTCACACAGTGAAAAAAAGTAAACATATTTATTTTGATTCCATCTGGAAAGCAAAGATAACTTCAAAAAAGCAACTGAAAGTCCTTGGAACAAATTTGAGAAATCCCTATGGTAAGGCTCTTGCTTATTGTTCACATAAAAAGAAGGGAGCCCATGTTTAGAGTTTCAAGCAGGATTGTTGGGCTTCTGCTATCGATAAAATTAGATTAAATCATACTATTAATACTGCTTTCACTAACAAATCAGTCTCTTCCGTGAAAGAATTAGTGCTGCTAAATTGCAAACTATACTGCAACTGCTAAGAGTCATAGCGAATGAGAAAACAGTAATATTTCCATATAGCAGAATTTCCCAAGGTGGGTGCTGTGGAACATGAGCTCCTTGGAGTGTTACTAGGTGTTACTCAAAAAAGTTTGCATGGTCAGATTAATCTGCAAAACACTGGAATTACATTTGTGGTGTTTATTTATTTCCCCTGGAGGATATTTAAATTAGAACCTTTGATGTGCTTATATGTGCTAACTTTTAGGATAGTATGTTTCCCAAACTCATTTGACCCTGGAGCCCCGTGTTTGGAACAGTATCTTTGGAACTTGTGTCCTGTGGAGCACACTTTGGGGAACACTGTATCTCATTACTCCTGCAGTGTTCAACTAATTAGCTTAGAAGTCTAGATGTGAAGGATTTAATCCAAAGTCAATTAAATAGGACCCAGCACAGTATCTAATGGACTTGTCATTTCTGCAGAGCTGGGTCAGGAATGCTGGTGTGATGAGCTAAGGCAATCTGGGGGGAAAATTAAGATCAGTCTAATAATGGGTCAAAAGGAGGAAACAATTTTCTGAGGTCACTGGAAAATAAAACCTTATCCAGAGTATAAATTCCTATACTTACAAGTGTACAATGAAATGTTGCCCTTTCTAAAGTTTTTGTGTTCCCAGTTGCAAGAGAGTTAGATCTGGCAACAAGTCGGGGGGGCGGGGGAAATGTCATGAAAATCAAATATACCTGGCAAAGGAAAAAGCGATCACTCCCTTTGTGAATCCCTCATGTATTGCCAGATATCCTAGTGATCCAATTCAATCGTGTAATCAACTTCCTAGGATCACCTCAAATAGTGTTGATGATGCCATCACTCATGTAATCCTGTTTGCACAAAATGTTCATGGACAGAAATCATCACAGCTGTATGAAATAAGACCTGTTTTTTTTTTTTTTTTTTTTTTTTTTTTTTTTTGCGGTACGCGGGCCTCTCACTGTTGTGGCCTCTCCCATTGCGGAGCACAGGCTCCGGACGCGCAGGCTTAGCAGCCATGGCTCACGGGCCCAGCCACTCTGTGGCATGTGGGATCTTCCCGGACCGGGGACACGAACCCGTGTCCCCTGCATCGGCAGGCGGACTCTCAACCACTGCGCCACCAGGGAAGCCCATAAGACCTGTTTTAAATTATCCTGATCACATATGCTCCATCACTCTATAAAACACTCTGTAATACTCTTACCACATAGACAAGATTCTAGAGCCCAATGCCTTCAGTCCAAGGCAAGGAATGGAATGTAGCCACTGGTTACCAGTAAGATGCACAGTCATGTTGCATTAGAACAGCGACCTCAGAGTTAAGTGCCTTGGACAAGTTGGTCATGTGAAATAAATGCCGATCTTGGGAACTAGCTTTGGAGTTTTCCATATAAGTATTATTTATTCCTTTTATTAGAGAATTGCAAATACAGTGAATTAAAAAAAAAGTTTCCCTGTCTCTTCCCCCACCCCCCCAATCCCAACCCATTTTAAGAGTACAAATTGCCAGTGGAGCAGCGGGAGAGCAGTGCATTAATGAAGACCTGGGCTTGGCATCTTGCTGGGGGCTCATAAGCACATGATCATTGGTTCCCAGCTTCATTTCTAAAAGACTATAAAACCATTCCAAAATTTGGCACCATGGGGGCTATTGGCAATGCGAACTCAGGCTAGGGGGTCTGGGTGACGATTCCAAAGCTTTGGCAGTGCTGTTTAAGGAAGCTTCACATGCAAACTTCTCAAATCAATTTCCCTAACTAGACTCAACCTTCCCTGTCCCTGGAAAATGGAAGTGGCTGGCCGGTGAGCCCACAGGGCATGCCGGGTGTTGTCTGCAGACCCCCGACAGCTAGAGGCGGCTCAGGGAGAGAGAGCTCCAGGAGGATGGGGAAGGGGACAAAGTAGCCTGATTTGAGACATAACTATTAATCAAACTGCTACTATTTTGCCTAGAAATTCTGTTTTTCAAAAATCTACAAGCCAAAGTGGGAGAAAAAGAGGCAGAAAGGGAGTAAAAAATACACGCACTACTTGATTATAAAGTCAGAAATGAATTAATTCTACAAAGCAAAGTTTAGAAGATGCCTTGTGAACTCAGAGGGAAAGCCATGCACTCCTGCACTCAGCACCATCTAGTAAGACATTTTGCAGGGCAAATAAACACTAATTTACTAACTAAGTCGCTTTTCTCCTTCATCTTCACCAAAACAGTACCGTTTTCATTTTAGACAATCACAGTGATCATAGCATTTAAAAATATCTTTCCATCGTTATTATGAATTTTGGGTTAAGTTAAAAATAAAAAAGGAAAATTAACTGCATACTGTAATACGCTGACACTGCTTATTCCTGGACTCCGGTTAGAGAGTGGGCTTTGGTAACTCTCCAGAATCAGAACGTCCTAAAATCACCAAGCAAACTCAGGCCACCTGGCCTGACTGTCCCATCACTGATCACAACCTGCATGTTTCCCACATTCCCTTCCCAACCCCCACCTCAAATACACACATCCAAATGTTCAGTGCCTCTCAATAGGCAGATACTCCAAACTAACATGGTGGCAGGTATTTTGTACTAGAACATTTTATGGCTTAAAAAAAAAGAAGGAAAAAAAAACGAGGTTCTGATTCTCATATCGTAAATTCTAATGTTATAGTTTACCAAAGTAAGCACGTCTCTTGGGAAACCACTATTAATTCTTTCAGTCAAAGAAAGGTTAAGTGCTCAGAGGAATCCAGACAGATTACAGTCCTTGGCAGCCACAAGGGAATCTTTTCATCCTCCTGAGTTCACTCCTAGAACCTGCTTCAGGAAAGCTCCACAGCTGAAGAAAGCAGGGAAGCGGCATCGTGGGCAGGAGGTGGCCAGTGAATGGGGCCTTTGAGAAGCTATAAAGGCAAATGCTCACTCTGGAAGGACAAAACCAGGTGGACGCCCTGGCATTTCAGACACAGAGGGGTGGGGATGCAATGAAAATCTTGTTTGGCTGTTTGAGCCCCTCAGCCAGGGAAACAGGATGACCCAGCATTTTCTGTAATTAACTTATAAAATACTGAGATGTGAAATGTGACTTTGGTGATAAGAAATGAAAAGCAGCAAGTCTGGCCGCAAAAATAACTCAGTGGTTTGCAACCAAATGTTAAAGACTGCTGCCTTTCCACTGTCTAGCAGAAGCACGTCCCAGTAGTTTACCACCAAATTCCAAAACTTGGCTGCGAACTCTGTACTTGGCTTCTGGGAGCACACACGCAGTTCTACACCGCTGCTTCTCAGAACATTGCTTCAGAGACACTTGAAAGCTACTAGAACAGGAGAGGAAACAATGCACAAAACCGGGCAGCTGGAGCTCAATTTGAGGCGGCAACCTCACCAGCGTTCTCTCTGAATGCAAATAGCAGACTTCCCAAGGGGCGCTGTGACTTATTCGGCCATCGTGTCCTCTATCTACCCTTAAAGGTGGAAGGGATTATGGTACTGTGATTTGCTTTTTTCACTTGGTAATGTAAAAAAATCGTGGTGTCTGGTGGTAAGGTTTAACAGCTGCCTATTACATTAGGTAAGGTGTAGGCCAAAGATTAAGGTCATGCATGATTAGGATAAACACACAAAGACTGGTCAGGTGGTACAGAAAGTCTATTTAACTAATAAAGAAAGTGAGGGAAGTTTACTTCTGCCGTGCAGGCAGCTCTCATCCACCCCGCCGCGTCCCTCAGCCTCCAAGAGCAGCCACGGAATAATAAACCATTTCCAAATCTGTTTCTGCAGGGCTGCTGCAGAGCAGAAAACCTGGGCTCAGGAGGAAAAAGCATTCTCAGGACAGCTCTGCCCCTCAGCACAGGGTGTGGCCACATCAGCCCTGACTCACTGTTCCAATGAGAGGACACAAAGTCTGATGCCTGGAGGGCCCTGTAAGGGATCTTGAAAACAATCGTAAAAGGAGAATATATGGCACATATGCCATTCACTTCATACATGTGACTCTACAGCTATATATTTATATATTTTGAACATTGGATGAAAGAGTTGGGAACACACGAAGAAGCCATTTCCCAGCCTCTCAACTACATTGGCCAAGAACACCCTCTGTTCATCACGGCACATAGACTTAAGACGGCCGGGGATGGGGAACCCCATGTCTGGGATGGATGATCCTAACTGTAACTCCCACACCTTTCACTACATTAAAAGAGACCAGTGTGTTGAAAGTCCTTTAGTCTAAGGCAGCTGAAACCCGAGAGGGTTCACTGCTCTTCTGTTTTGCTGCTATTCCTGAACTTCACCACCATGACTGTTATGTTGTCAGGGCAGCCTCTGTAAAATGACTGTAAAACTATGCTCTTGGCCCCAAAGTGAGGTTCATCCAAGCGGTCCTTGATGAACCGAACAGCTTCTTCGTTGCTGAAAGCATCCCAGAGGCCATCTGATGCCAAGATCATGAACTCGGGCTGGAGCTTGTCCAGGTCAAAGGTCAGGATATCTGGGTCTGGGATGACCACGTTGAGATTTTTCAGGGGATAATCCCCCAGGGATCGAGACATGGCCAGGATTCCCTGGACCCTCCAGGAGCCATTGAAACTGATGAAACCACCTGGAAAGATAGAATGAGCCCATTAGCTTGACCAGCTGCTCTCTCACACCCCGGGTGCGGTCCGCGTGCATCTGCAAAGGGCTGACCTACTGCATGTGACCTATGTGCTCCCCTCACCCCACCTTGGCACTACCAGGAGGGAACAGCGTTCCTCTGCATGGCTTGAGGTTTGACGCTCTACAGGTAGATCCTCAGGCCCTCATCCTTGGTATCTTAAAAGCCTTCAAGACCAAATTAATAAGAATATTGAGGGTAGGAGACATGGATGGGTGAGGGCATCAGTTTTAACTTAAGGACACCTTGGCAGCTCAGTGACTGACAGTAGGGAGCCCTAGGGTGGGATCCAGGGACAGCAGCAAAACCGCACTGAAAGGCAGGTGGAGAATACTACTGGGATCCATCATTAGCTTGAGGCTGCCCTTGAGTGTGCCTATATCTCAAAACACCTCCCCAGATAGGATCAGGATTAAAGAATGGTGTATTTTAGCACAGTTGTTAAAGGCTCAGGCTCTCGGGGCAGACTGCTTGGATTTGATTCCTGGCTCTGTTACTTTTAGCTTTGTGTGACTTTGGATGAGAAACTCTTTCTGATCCTTGGTTTCCTTGGTTCCAAAATTGGGACAGTAACAGTACCTATTTCACTGAGGAGTTGTGAGAAATAAAGGGGTTAGTTATTCCATATTAATCACCTGGCACAGTGCCTGCATATAACATGCATTCAGTATTATCTATTATTATTTTTTCTTTAAGGGAGCTAGAACTTTGTCTATTCGCATATTATTTGTCAGATATTTATTAAATATATATTCCATGCAGGGCAATTTGCAGGCTATAAAGTTAGACAAGATCCAGACCTTTCTATAAAGAAGTAGACAGCCTGGCAGGAGGGAAAAGCCACCTGTATCAACAGCTACAAGCACAAAGCAGTATTTCTTCAGGGAGAGACTAGTACCTGCTAAATGCTGTAAGCAGATGGGGAGGAGGGAGCGAAGATTTCTGGTTGTGATAATCAGGGAGGAGTGAGCGTTAAAGCTGGGCTTTGACCGATGGGTAGGACTTCCATGGGCAGGGATGTACGAGAACATTCCAGGAAGCGTGGTCTCCTGGGCAAGAGCGTGGGCTCTGGAGTCACTGTCCTGGGTCTCAATTCTGGTCTCACCATTCACTAGCTGTGTGTCCTTGGGCACACTAGCCTCTCTGAGGCTCCACTTCCTTGGTTGTAAAATAAGGATAACATCATCAACCTCGTAAGGTGGGGAAAGAGAAAGTATATGTGAATCGCTCAGCTTAGCTCCCAGCACAGAGCGAGCACACAGTAAATGGCAGCTGACATCACTGTTATTGTGGAAACAGCTTAAGGAATGGAGACAGAAAGACCAACGTGTATTTGGCCTAGACTGGTTGCAGCGTACTGTCACACAAAACAGGAGGGGGAGAGATGTCCAGAAGGGAAGGCTGAGGTCAGAGTAGACACACACAAAGATAAGAAAACCAGTTATTGTTCAATAAGCCCTGATGTAAAATATACCCTTGACATAGGTGAGATTAACCTCCTTGGAGATGCTGTCAGAATTTGCTACTATAATCACTGTGGGGGCGGGGGAGGATGGATGGGTACGGCAGGGAAGAGGAGAGAGGATAAAATGGGTTGACATTCCGGAAGAGAGTGCCGGATGCTAAGGTGGCATCTCCACGTGTTCCCTATACACATCCCTGCCTGTGCTGCCTCAAGAGCAGGCTGACTGTATCCTAAGTCCAGGGTCACAGTGGACTGAGATGCTGTCTTCGTAAGGAGGGAAGCTCATCAAAGCACGATAGATGCTCTTAAAACACTGTTCCATCCCATCAACAGAAAACCTGACCAAAGCTTTCATTAAAAATTATTCTGCATCTCAAGCACTGAATAAAATTCAACGCTTTTGGACTCAACAGTATAGCTTCCTACTGTGAAAACTCAAATGTTGATTAGGTTCTGGGCAGAAGCTGATGTGTAGACATTGAGGGTCAACCTGTAGATTCCCCCAGGCAGCAGGGGCCCTTCTTGGGCTGAGACCCAGGGTACCTGAGCTCCCTGGGCAGCTGGGCCTGTGGCTTAGCATGTGACACAGAGGCTACATGCTGTGGTTGTCAGTCTGGGGAGGGAAGGGCTCCTCCCCTGCACGGGTAGAAAAGAATCCCCCCCAAATTGACTATGAAAGTGTAATCATCAACTGATAATCTTCCTTCAAGTCTTCGTCCCAATGTCACCTTAGTGAGGCCTATGCTGACCACCCTGTGACACTCCCCATTCCCTAACCTGCTTTGTGTCTCTCCATAGCAGTTATCACCTTGTAATATATTAGATCATTTACCTATTTTTACTTATTTATTATTAATGTCTGTCTGTCTACTACATTCCCTACCTGTTTCTCAGTTTCAAGATGTAAGGTTGTACCCCCAAGGCTCTAGATGTTGAAAAAGTGAAAAAGGGATTCTCCCCCTCCCCAAACTGAAATATGTACTTATCTTAGGCACTGAGCTCAGTGTTGGGAGTATAGAGATGAACAGACCAAGTTCCTGCCTCAAAGAACTCATGGTCAGGAAGGCAAGACAGATAAGAGGGCCAGGTATGTCCACACATGTGAAAGGTGACCCAAGAGGTCCACATAGGATGCTGGGGAAAGACTGAAGGGGTGTGACAGGGAAGGCTGCCAAAAAGACACCCTTAAACCAAGTCTTAAAGGACAAGGTCGTTGTTACCCACTAGACGGTGTGGACAACACTTGTAAAGGCACAGAGGTATCAGCTCCATGGTTCGTTTGGTGGTTAGTAGTTTGGCACGACTGGAGAGAAGCGGGGTATGGCAAGCAGGGGCCCAAATATCTAATCAGCCTTTAAACTAAGGGCTTTTTTTTGGCTCTTTTGTAATCTGTGGCCACAAAGAAGGGCAAATTCAGTGGCCACTCATTTGATAGGAAATGCTACAAAGTCCAGTCCCAGCTGCCTCAGCAGCAGCCTCTGTACTGATCTACTCATCATTGGGTAAAGGAACATCTCCCCCAGGGGCTCTCCCAGCAAGCCACCTTGTCCACTTGAACAAGACAGCACAAAGTCCTCGGAGGCATTCACAAACTCACCGGCTCTCTTTATCCTCTTCCTTTCCTTCAGCTGGTACGGCTTGTGATCATGAGACAAAGGAATGGCATTCCCATCCTTGTCACACAGGACCCCACGCGAGTCACCCACATTGGCCACGGTGAGGTCTTTATCTGACAACAGAGCAATCAAACACGTTGTGCCTGCAAAACAGGAGAGAGAGGCAATACAGGTCAGTGGTGCTTTGAGGTTGGCCTGCTTCTTGTGGTTACTGGTCCTTCAGTCATTAAAACTACTCCTGCTGGGTGAGAATTTGACTCCAGCCACTCGGAGAATGACAGCCGTTCACTTCAACAGCACTGATCAGATCTGGCAGTGAATTTTCTTAACCATGTTGGAGTCTCACTGAAATAGGCTAGGATAACATTATCATTTTCCCAAATCATTGTTGTCTCTGCTACTCTTGATTTAAATGCATATCACACTTAAAAGGACTCGGAGAGAATCAGAATCAGCTTGAAGCTTCAGACGACTGATATTTATTTTCTGCTTCTTTTTGGTGCTGAGTTTCTGTGAAATCCCGGTTGAAAGTGGGAAGGATAGGGGTCGGGTGGGCTCTTCAAGCAGGAGGGCCTGGAAGGGCCAGTAAATGACAGATGCCAACAACCAGGTCCTATGGAGCCATGGGGAGCAGGGGGAGCAGCCTATACAAACTAGCCTATATGGAGTCTGACAGCAAAGACCGGCGGCCAGAAACAGGTCGGCGAGGGGGGTGATGGGGGCGGGCTGTAAAGGCAGAGGCAGGAAAACCCAATATGAGGGCAGAAATGAGGTCTATGCCGACAGGCAGTGGGGGATTGGGGTGGTCAGAGTCAGAAGGGAAGCAAGAGGGAAGAGCTGTTTGCCTGGAGCCCACACAAGACACAAAAGGACAAGCTCTCTCTCCTCAAACTCCTCATGGAATGAGAATGGATAAAAGCAAGTAGAGCTGCACAATCTGGTCTAGTTGGAGGCCGCCCTTATTACCTGCCCAGTGCCCTCTGTCCAGCCCCTCTCCTTTCTCGTCACCCGCCTTCTGACAGTGTCACTGAGTATGCAAATACCTGCTGAAATGCACAACCCATTAAGCTCTGGCTTCAAACCGATAATGCCTTTCCTTGTTAAAATTATTCATCAATTAGTCTTCATTAATATTTAACCTCCTGATTAAGAAGGTCATATGCAATAACAGAATGCAAACTGCTTTTTATCTGCACAGAATGACAAGACTGAATTCTTAAATAGACATAAAGAATAAACACAGATTGATATCAAGAGCGGGGAGAATAATTAGCATTTTCAGCTATTATGGTTCTATTGGAAATTCCATTCTAAAGGCTGTTTAACTCAAAAGTGCCTTGATCAGAAATGGAAACACATGAAATGTTGGTTAACTCACAATGTCTGATGTGAAAAGCCTTGTGAAAGGAGAAAAGACTAATCTCAGGATTATCAAAGGAAATAGCAAATCTTTCACCTTAAAAAAAGCTGTAAGAATGAAAATGTAAGCACAAGATGGACAATTCATATGATTAGAAATCATTATTCTCAGTTTTTGATATTAGTTGCATTTTGGTCTTCAACCATCCTCACTTTGTCCTCAAGCATCTGATTGTGTTAACCTGTCTATCACGATGAGAGCACAGATCCTCCTATAAGGCACACTCTTGGAGTTTGAAAGGTGAAATGGAGATGCTCCGTTATTGGATGTTACATAGCTTGGGGGCATTATATCAGTTCAACTCTTGGAGTTGTGTCCCTCAGAGGCCCTCTTCCCTTCTCACTCTGTGCACTTCGAGAGATCATGGCCCTGACCTTTGCTTCCACCACCACCTCACCTACAACGCTAGCCTGGTTGACACTTCTGAGGTCCATATCAACTGCCTGCTAGGCATTTCCATTTGCCTGTACAACACGGGATCCAGAAGAGGCTTTGGGGTCTCCATGTGAGGGAGGTGAAGGGATCCACCTGGATGAGCTATAAGCCGTTTCCCCACCCCCATTTCAGCCACAGCAGCTCTACATCCATTGTTAGCTTTATCGGGCTGCTGCATGTTCTTTTTGTCTGTTTTTGTTTTTTTTTTTAAGAGGGGAGAGGTAATTTCTATAGCTAAAAAAAAACCTTTGAAGTTTAGTTGTATATGTGATTAAGAACCACTGAAGGGTTTTAAGCAGGAGAGTGACATGATGAGATCTGTGTTTTAGATCATGTCAGTGGCTTTGTGGAAGATAAACTGGAAGCAGGGGGAATAGGGAGAGTTCATGAGGATCTGAATTAATGTAGTAAACACAGGGATTGAGGGTCAGGGACAGATTACTTAAGACCAGAACGTATAGGTCATAGAGAATAAGGAAATAAAGGAGAGAGAGAGGTCTAGGATAATGTCCTGGTATCTAGAAGGGGGGCACTGGGTGCTCCATGGACAAGCACTTATGGAGATGTTGGCTTGGGCTTTTGGGAAAGGCTTTCTCACTGAAAGAGACATGATGCAGAACACGACCCATTTCTTTGGCCTCCTGTGGCTCCTGTGTTTCCCAGGGCTGTGTCAGCCATCTTGCACCATGAGGGGATATGGCTCAGAGTCAAGGCTCTGTGTCCAGAAGGGGGAGCAGAGAGGTGAGGAACCTGAGTCCCTGAGACATCACAGAACTGCTAACCCAGCCTGGACCCATCCTGTTCTTGTTCTGCAAGACACTAAATGACTTTACTACTTAAGGCTTTTTACATTGGATTTGTTGTTGTTGTTCCTTGTGGTATCCTAACTGGTTCAGGGGCTTACAGTTCAATAAGGTGCTTCTGGGGCTTCCCTGGTGGCGCAGTGGTTGAGAGTCCACCTGCCGATGCAGGGGATGCGGGTTCGTGCCCCGGTCCGGGAAGATCCCACATGCCGCAGAGCGGCTCGGCCCGTGAGCCATGGCCGCTGAGCCTGTGCATCCGGAGCCTGTGTGTCCAAAGCCTGTGCTCCACAACGGGAGAGGCCACAACAGTGAGAGGCCACAACAGTGAGAGGCCCGCGTACCACAAAAAATAAAATAAAATAAAATAAAATAAGGGGCTTCTGGATGAGAGATTTAGAGGGTGACTGCTTTGCTTCACTCACATGTGAAGATTCATGGCCTGTTGATTCCTCTGTCAAGAAGACGATCCCATTGTTTCTATGGGTCTATAAAATCTACCTCCTGATGTGGATTTCAGGAATGTACTGCTTTGAGAAAGTGGAAATTGCCTGTGTCAACAATAGACTTTTAGACCGGGCCAAAATGGGTGAGCCCCAGGTGGCAGAAGGAGAGCTGCAGGCTGTGTTTAGGGTCAGTGAAATGTCACTATTCCCTCTCCATAGAAACCTGCCTGTGTCCTGGGTGGAGCCCAAGCATGATTGAAAACACTATAAACAACTTATTGTTTGGGCTTTGCAGTCTTAGCTCAGGATTACCAGAGACAATTTATAATCTAATCTTACATTACAGCAGAAACTACCTTGTGGCTGAGGAAAACTCCAGAAAAACATTATGCCCAAGAGAAAAGGAGAAAATCACTTTTTCTTTTGTATGTATGAGAAAAACACTGTCAAGACTCTGGTTATTAGTTTTGAGATAAACTTAGCCATCATAGTACTATTTATCAGAAATACCAGCGTCTGACAATATCACTTAACCCTGAACCTCAGGATTGTCTATATTAATAATTTAATCTAGGTGATACCTTAATTGAAAATCTGGACAATATTTTGGAGCTTTAACCTAATAGTCTGACTTAGATTAAAAAAAAAAAATGAGAAAGTAAATTCACACAGACTAGACTTCAAAATCCTAGCTGAGTGAGGTCTGGCAAATTATTTAACTTTTAAGCCTCAGAAAATGGTACCACCATCCACTTAGTTGCTCAAGCTAGGAGACATCCTTAGTTTTTCTCTCTTCCTCATTCCTGACATTCAATCCATCATTAAGTTCTGTCACCCGTACCTCTCAAACACATCTTAAACCCCTTCCCTCCTCTTGTTCTCATCGTGCTGACTGTAGTCCGAGCCACCACCATCTCAGCCAGCATGCTATTTCAGCTCTCCAGGTCCTGCATGATCTGCCCCTGCCCCAACCTGTACAATGTTATGTCATACCACCCTCCCCTTACTCAAGGCCTCCCTTCTGTTGCCCAAACATGCCAAGCTTTTTTTTTTTTGTGGTATGCGGGCCTCTCACTGTTGTGGCCTCTCCCGTTGCAGAGCACAGGCTCCGGACGCGCAGGCTCAGCGGCCATGGCCCATGGGCCCAGCCGCTCCGTGGCATGTGGGATCTTCCCGGACCGGGGCACGAACCCGTGTCCCCTGCATCGGCGGGCGGACTCTGAACCACTGCGCCACCAGGGAAGCCCGACAAAGAGTCTTTGATGTGCGGATCTCCAAGAATTACACTTACATGAAGCTCAAAGCACAGGAGACCTAGACCTTGCTTTCCAAGGCACAACCCAAGAAATCAGAAACCTTTGCCCCAGTATAGAGAGGCAACGGCTGAATGAGCTCACTTGGACAGCCTAACGTGGAGTAGAAAGGACAGCTGAGAACTGCTGGGCTTCTCCTGAGGAAGAAATGGAACTCTCAGGAGCTTCGGAGCCTTCCAACCACAGGTCCTGGAGACCCTGGGTCACCCCAGCAGGTGCCATCCCAACATCCTGACACTTAGATCATCCCTGGGGAAAAGGAGCGGGGGGTGAACACATAAGCTGAACTTGGTATTTACACGTAAGAACCTGAGGAAAAGTCAGGAAATTATGGTATCTTCCTGGAAATGAATATAGCAAGATTTAGTAACAGATCCAATATGGACTCAAAATCTATTACATTCAGTCCTATGGAGACAAATTAAATTAAACTTCAGCACATGTTTATTTTGTAGCCATGTAATGTGTGTGCGTGTGTGTGTGCGCACGTATCTGCCTATCGCACGTTGCACATCTTAAATTTTACCCTGGCATAGACATTATGAAATTTAAATTTTAAAATGCTACAGCTAGTACCAACAATGTTTGCTAACCAAACAAGACTTCCCTGGGCACTGAGTTTGTTAACACATACCTATCACTGAAGAATTCCAGATGGAAGGAGAAACTGTTTCCAAAGCCCTTGTGAATGAAGTACACCATTGGCAGGTCTTGCAGTTACACATAAAT